TCTTTGTAAAGTGATCCCGGTTGGGCAGGTTATTATAACTGCTAAATTTAGGTTTTCAGGCACAGCAAAAAACATCCTGATGAAAACACCTCAGCTATATTCCTACGTTTTGCATCAACTTGCAACAACAGCTAAAACAAGTTTGGAAATGCTGCTGGCCAGAGGCCCAGTTTTAGTTTGAAAACTCCAGTGATGCATTTCATTCTGGATGGGCAGAAACTTTGAGATGGATAGAGACGATGACATAGACACTCACAGCCGCTTGCTGATTGGGTCTTTTCAGTCACAACGTAGCCTTTGCTGATTCGTCAGGCTCCTCTAACAAGACCCATTTTTAATAGAAAACAATTGGCATTAGCCCTGGCTACAAAAATGCAACATGGTTAAGTGTAGCTGACCCTGTTTTCTTTGCTGACAGCTGTTAAACACTGCATTTTCATTTACACCATTGCTGCTTCTCATTTATAGCCCAGCTCTTTCTGCAACTATCAACCAAATGCTTCCTGTGTACACTGTCACGTGCAGGCCCAGTATACGTAAGTGGTCACGTGATATGCGTTTTTAGGCACAGTAGTTTGAACAGGGGTTAAAACAGATACTGAGCCCAAATGCTCATGTGGACAGAGGTGGCTTTAGATTGAAAACACTGTTTTCAAATGAGAACACAGTAGTGTGTGTTACCTCGAGCTGGTGAATGTATTCTAGCATTTTACAGTTATTAGTTTAATGAGTTTGGCTGTTTCCCTCAAGAGTTGGTAAAGACCAAAACAGGGAAAGTGAATACAGACTTGCATCCATCAAATGTTCATAAACACAGCTCCACAATAATTGATGTTGCTTTGTGTTTATTGTATGTGTATGGGGCAGTGCAGATGTAGCATCCAAAAATGCATGGAAAACACTGGCAGTGCCACTTTCATCCATCTATCCAACACACTTGGGAGATTGTGCTACTGTTGCTGTTATCAATCTGCCAAAACCACTTGTCCAATTAGTTGTAAGTCTCACTCACTGAACAAACATAACCTTAATAACAAAGACAGAATGGATTTTCCAGCTTTACTGCTCAACATGTCGGTGGAAAATAATATGGAACCTGCCCTCATCTCTGTGGATTCCCTCCATCAAACTGATCCAGGAGCTTTGTCTGGATGATGGGAGGTTCAAATCTTATTTCTAGTGGATAAAGAACTGCATAAGCTGATATTTTCCCATCTCTTTGAACACAGCCAATGTGGCTTTCAGTTGGGAGTATAAGTGCATCATCATTATAAATAACAAATCAGTGTTTCCCATTAAGTATCTAGACTGGGGCAGCCAGCCATGTTCGAATGTGTCCCGCCACAGTTTCAAAATGAACCACAATTAATGCACATAAATCAAGATCTCTAACTTGGTCTGTGCAGCGCTATTTGCCGCAAGCTTGTATTGCACTATAGTCCATAATGTTTTTGCTGTCCATGCAGACAGTCAGGCCTCATGGTTTCAGCTGCAGTTGTGGCATTCAATGCAGTTCTTTCTCTTACGTGAGAACGGATCTTTCTCTCTTAAGTCTGTGTGCCTGTCACTCTGAATCTGTTACCCGTGAGAATGACCTGCACCCCATTGCTGCCAAAAATCTAATTAATTCTGGATAAATGGGAATAAATGGGAAGGCACTACATCTGAACGACCCAAAACGAGAAACAAGGTTACCAACTGTTTGCAACACGTTCACTTTGGTGATCACAAACATATAAGATTGACATTTTTCTCAAGAGTTGGAGACCAGAACAAAGCTTAAAGGAAAGTGATTCCTATCAGTTGAATTTAAGCAACTGAAAAATTAATAAATCTGTCAGTGTTGTGTGACAGCTTGTTTTTGCTCGACCCAAATGGCCAGAAAACCAGGTTTAAATTAAAATGATAATAATGTGATCTGATGTAAGTCCAAGGAGCAGCACTGGTCCAGTCAGAAGCTTTTGAATTACAAATGTAGTATAAGTAGTATAAGTCATGGTAGATTTAAGCAGTTTAGTATTATAAAGCAACATAGTGTGCTTCTCTTCTCTAATACTGCCAACACTGGAGCCATAATGGATGTCTCTAAAACATTATAAATAACAAGTACACAATATATTACAGTCAGGAAATGGGCACCTGAGGAAATGATGTTTTCATTAATTTCATTAGTATAGGGAGGATCTGTGCAGTTGTAAATGGAGGGCTATCAAAGCTAATGGATATTAGGATGCTCTGTAATAGAGGAGGATGAGTGGGTGTAATTAGCAAACGCAATTCACCAGGTTGAGCTGGATTCTCTCAATGTTCAGCTACTTAAAAGCCTTCCTTGAAATTATCAGAAATGAAGACAGTGCAGGAAGTAGTGTCTATATACATGAGTTTACAGGGTCAGGCCAAACTCTTCTCCTAACATGGTAATGAGGAGAGGAGATGCTCCACAGCCAACTCTGTCTGACACCTCGGTACACACCATGACTGCTGGGAACATAACAGTAGGAAATCATTGGACATTTTCCTTTTGAACTCTTGTGAGAAAGTTTACTTTGTCTTTTTCTGTGTTTGATTCTTTCATGTGCCCACGGCCCAATTACCATCAAGTCAAAGTTGTAAACAAAGGTCCAGTCACAATACTTCAGGACAAAGTTTGAGTAAAGTGTCTCCTCCCATTAAGGGACTTTGGGATTTAGGGATGCCACTTTGTTTTAATTTACCATATCCAGTGGCAGATTGCGGTTTGCCTCCCTTCATTTTGTTACGCTAGGTTTTTTATCCAAGGATGACACAGGCGCCTCATTATACCCATAAACCCTTGTGTTTTGGGGTTTCCTCCCATGGTCGATTCAGACTAGGTTCTCACTCCTAATGAACCACCACCACCAGGAGTGAGAGTCGCTCAGCCGTCTCTGAGTGGTTAATTGGTGCCACAATGACCAGAGTTTGAGTCATAGTGTCTCCTTAATCAAACCTGTTGCTGCTCTGATTCAGATAATTAAAGTTACAGATCCATACAGGCGTGAAATGGAAGATGGCATAAGATGAGACTAATCTTTAAGCTGGTCCTCAGTCAGCTTTCAGTCACTTTGCTTTTTTTATTTATGACCCATTTGAAGGTCACACACTTCATGCAAACACCCTAGGTCATAGCTAATATTATTAATATTGGGTGGACCAACAATTCTTGATGATATATTCATGTGCTGTATGTGAATGTAAGACATCACTGTGTCTGTTCTTAGACTAATGACTGATAATAGTGGTGATGCTAGTGAAGAAAGGTCTTGGGTAACAAACTAACACCCAATTGGGATTTTAATTTTCTCCAAATGAAATCTGAACTAGTGGTTAGCATTATCGCCTCACAGCAAAAAGGTTCCTGGTTGTAATCCCAGCATGCCTTGGGTCTATGTTTTTGGAGTATGATGAACAGAAGGTGGAGTCTTGGCCCTGATATCTGCTGTACACACACAGCCCCAAAATATCAGCTGTGACCCCCAGAGGCTTATCCGTCATTAGATGAATGAGCTGTGAGATTATCATCATCTTTAATGACTTCTTCTGTGACTGCCACTCCTTCTCTTGCTCATAATGAGACTCACTATGAATGAAGCTGTCTTCAATGAAACAAACCCTGATACTGATATTCATCATTAGCAATTACAGATAGGAGTTGTTTGTTTTTTTTCCATTTGGCTCATCACTACTTGATTGAGCTACTCGTTGCTTGGTGAAGTGGCAACAGCAAACACTTCCTCCAGTTTTTCACTTTGGACGGTACCTGTTTCCACATGCAAGCAGTCTTTATGCTAAGCTAAGATAACTATGTACCAGCTCTACAGCAGAGCTTTAGAAAGTTGAAGTTTATCTTAATTTCTTCGTCTAACTTCCAGAATGAAAGCAGATATGTGAATTTCCCTAAATGCTAAACTCAAAGGCAACACAACACACTGCACCGTAAAATGTTCCCTTAACAGGCCACATTTAGTTCACTGGTCAGCTTGTCTTGATTTTTGGGTAAACAAACCTTCAACTGTACAGATTGAGACTTCATGGTGACATTTGCATAATCATCATGTTACATAATGATGAGCTTAGTTCATTTTCATTTGAGCTTTTATCATCATTTTTGAAAGCAGGTCGCAGAAAAAAATTAACTGCATGGGGTAAATATCTGTGGGATTTTGCAAATACACACCATACATTTAAAGATGTGAAAACGCGTGGTCTGTTTTTTTTTTCGTCTTCATGTCGTGAGTGCACTGCCAATTATCGCATACATGGGAGAATATGGATCTGATGTTGTTAAGAAGGAATGTGCTGCTGCAACAGTGAGCGGAGCTACACAATAATGTGGCATTCAAGTGAACAGAGAGGAAGCCTGGTTGTTCCTGAGCCTTCGTCTCTGTCACAATGATTTACAATACAGCGCAGAAAGACTCAGTATGTGGGCTGCTGCATCAACATAATCTGAATCCACTGTAGCAGCTGTAAAGCACACACATCCCTCAGGCTGTTGTGAAAGACCGGGGTTCCTTCTCTTCATAATCATGTGTTTTGTGTAACTGTGGTGTTCCTTATGAAAATCTGTTTACAGTTTGATGGTTTTAACTTTTGTTCTGCAGTTAGACACCACTGAGATTTTTTATTTCTGAAATGTTATATTTCTTACCAAAGGAAATTTGGAAAAATGTCCTTGGATTTGTTTAAATTATTCTATTTCTTGGGAGTCATACTTCATGGTATTTCACTAACTCTCTGCTTAATTGCTTTTTTTTATTTGTGTCCTGTCTTATTCTTCCTTCTACACACCTTTGTTCCATCATGGTTTCTAAATGAATGTACCTCTTTAATTGCTGAATTAAAAAAATAATCATTTAAATGACATCCTAGAAACTAAATATGGGGGCACCAGAAATTATATTAGACATTTTGGATGATTTAAATTCTGCTGGTGAGAAAGAAATAAGTTGTAACTGTCGAAAAAGTGACAGAGAACTCACCCTCTCCTCCTCCTCCCTGAGGTCAGGCATGGTGCTGACACACAGCGTCACAGCAGTGATGGCTACAAATATCACTGACAGACAGGCGAAGATCTTCCCTGGGATGCCAGAGTGGGGGTTCTCCACCATGTCCCTCAGTCTGTGCATGCAGCCCCCCGTATGAGTTTCTTCCTGAGCCCATGCTTCGGGAGGTTGCTGGCTCTCCTCACAGGACTGCGGCGATGTGAGCTCGGTGTCCTCCTCCTCCAGCCTCTGCTGCTCCTTGTACTCCTCCTGCCTGAGCCGCAGCTTCCTGAGACAGCACCAGTCAAGGCTTTTCTCCTCCACCCCCCAGTACAGCAGTTCCTCCTGGAAGGACATGGCGCACATCTCCCTCAGGAGCCGCAGCTTTCCTGCCGCCAAGAAAGTGACGATGGTGCGGAAGGCCGACGGACTTCGGTCAAAGAAATACTCATTGCGGCTACAGTCGTAGTCGTCACACACGTCCATGATCTCGGCCTCATTGCTGCAGCTGCGCAGCTTTCCCAGCCTTGATAAGGGAAACTCCTCCAGCGTTGACCAGGGGATGCGGTATTTGATACCCCCTACATTGATAATGGCTGCCCCATCAGCCCGGTCGATCTCATCTCCCCCCTGTTGGTGGGGCTGAGGGTGGAGCAGGAGCTGGGCTCGCTTGTAGAACACCCCCTTCTTGGCGGTGACCTCCTGTGGGTTCTCTACATGTTTGTAGCGGAAGGTGGTGAACTGGTGCTCAGTGCTGCCTGCCAGGAAGGCCACCTCCTGGTACATCCCTGCTACTCTGATGGGGGAACCTGTCCTGTAAGTTGCAATAGGAGGGGGGCTTCAGAGGGTAGGCAAGGTGACTGGGAGCTCGTCACCCATTCAGCAGCACTGCACGTCTCTGCAGGACAGAAAAGACAGATTGGTGATGACATTTTTCAGTGTCCGCCTCAATCTTTTATCAAACGTGTCAATCTCTGTTCTATCAAACATTCCAAAGTCCTTCCAAAGGCTTCAGTGTGCCTCACATGTAGTGATCCCTCCACACCTTCCCACTGTTGGAATTGGGGTGACCCCTTCACTGATTTTTAAAATCTAAAATCAATGTGTATAATGAAGCCAAATCAACCTGGATATAAACACTGCCATCCTGCACCAATGACAACATTTGGATCTGGGGATGGAGCCATGACATTAAGGTCCTGTGGATACATACGCTCAACCAAAATCTGACAGAAGTCTGAGTAGGATTTATATATTTATATATTTTCCTTTGGATATATGTTCCAGTGTGTGTTGGCTGGTTTTAAATTCTACATTTCATTTTTTTTTTTTAATAATGGTCAAATTCACACAGTACAAACTATAGTCCTCAAATAATAATACAAAGAAAACATCTTTTGTACTGTGTTGGTGTGATCCACTGAATCCTAAAGTCGTTGGCTTTTTAATAACTGCTCTTGTCGGACTGAAAGTCTGTAAAATAAGACCCACAAGTCAAAACAGTTTGTATTCCTGGAGAAACGTCAAAAGCAGCCAAGCTATAGTGTAATTGCAATGGAAGCATGAAGAAAAGTAACTCCATGTCAAGTTGCGGTCTAAACCCAATGCAGATACATTAATAACGTTTTTCTATTTACTGCATCACCAGGCTGCGGAATGAGAGGATTTAAAGTGCTGTTCAACAAACAGTAGGAAATCACAAACTCCCTCACAGACTAATTACAACACACTGTTCGACACACTGAGTTGAATATGAAATAAAGAATGAATATGTGACTTGAACATATGTTGAATATTTAATATGTGTGGTAATGGTTTATTCATTCTTCATTTCATATGAACGAACAGCTGCTCAATCATTGTACTCTCAACATAAAATGCAGAGTTTACTCATTTCCTTTCCAAGACCAAATTCCACAATAATGTAGATGTACAACTACTTAATAAAATACACATAGGCAGTTTATGAAAAGAAAAAACAAATCACACAGACTGGCAAACTATCAAGGAGGGAATGAAAATGATTTCCCCTTTGGATACACCTTCATATCAAAGAAGGGATATGGTAGTCATCCCGCTGTACCGCACATACTCCTGTATTCATTTTATTCATGCGTAACAACATGATTTTCAGATGTTTCTACAAACGCTACCTTGTTACTGGTAGAACTTTTCAAAAAGAAAGTTTTAAAAGCTCCAGATAAATGCAAGTATTCATGATGTTGAAGCAAACCCCCTCTAATTTCACAGGTTTTGAGTTTTTTAATCCAACAAAACTGTGACGTCTGAATCAGAGCAGTGTCGCAGTTCCCTGATCAAACAGTGCAATGTGTCAGCCTCTGTGCATCCGTTTATTTCACTTCCTTTTTAGATCCAATTACACACTTCTGAAGTGATTTAGTCTTAACAGGCTGAGACATTCATTGTTTTATTCAACATGGATACATCTGGATACACAGTTCAGGCTCTTAGTACAGCAGCAGTGATCCTGCACACTTGCTGAGGATGAGTGCAGCGGGTCTGGGGGTGTGCTGCTGATGTAGAGAGGCTGGAGACATCACAACAAATGAAGAGCGGGACCCCGCCGGCTACGCTCGGACTTCCCTCTTCTATTGTGAGGCCAGTCATTTTGAAACAGGCCGCTTTCTCCGAGGGAGGAGGGTCAGAGAGCGGCACCTCTACAGCGCCTCAGCAAAGTGCTTCTGACAGGAGCGCTTTATTGAGCATGACACTGCACCCAGGGGTGGTTCAGGAGCACAGAGGAAATGAATTTAGGTTCCACAGGAGGAGCTCAAACCAGAGGAGTCAAAGGAGGCTTGTTGTGAAGTGGAAATACATTATGTTACACCACAAATCCATTTTACTTACAAGTAAAATTTACTCCTGATTAAATTATTATAACAATAATATTAATAACTCTTTGACAAGTGGTCTTTTTTGGTCAAACGGAGATGCATTGAACTCAGGACATTTTCCTGAAAGCTTTATGTGAGAGCGCAGATGTCCAAGTCAGTTGCTTGTGACCTTTTTCAGAACTTGTCTTGCCAGCGCCCAAAAAAAATGAGTGAGAATACAGCAAGAAAATGAAAATCCACAGCAAGTGAGTAGACACATTGATGATGTTTCTAATATGCGATGGACACAAAACTGGAAAAAAAATAAATTCAGGATGAAAAGAAGTGCCACACACAGAGGAGATGCAGACAAACATTTCAATAAAGCCTTTTTTTCCAGCAGAATTTACACCTCCTTCATAGTAAAGCAATTTAAACCCCAAATACCCAGATAGAAGCAAATATTTGACACACAAAAACAAGTTTACTGATTAACTAACTCAGTAATTAACATTGTAACAATTTATCTCTTACAGTGTGATTTTAGTAGCCGAGCTGTGTGCAGCTCATCAGGTCATGTCAGTTTCACTTCAGGACATAAAGGTTTTTCCCGAAGACTCTCAGTGACCCTCTGGATTGGGCTTCAGATGCTGAATATAACACTGTGAGAATAAAGTGATTCAAAAAAAACATTTGCTCTGCTCACGTTTCTTTTACAAATCTGCAGTTCAATAAGGTTTTCTTTAAGAACACTAAAAGTCGTCTGGAGACACTTTGCTCTTTTTCCTTTCACCAGAGATAGCAGCTGAAAGAAGATGCATCAGCTATCAACCCTGCATTATTCTTTTACCACCAGTTGCTCATGCAAATATCATTTACATGACCCTTTGCATAAATCTGCAACCGATGCATCACTGATACATCCGCCTTCCTGCAGCCACTCGGTCTTCATCTCAGTAAAGGGCCTGGAGCAGATTCTATTTTGAGACGCACAGATCTTGAATGACACTGAACTATCACCTGAGTGGCTCCTAAATCAGACTGATTGATGTCCTCACAGCGACTTTCTGTCAGTGACGGTCTGTCCTCAAAGACATGAGGACAATTAAGCGTCTTGCCTGAAGAGGCAGCGCAGCAATCAGCAGAGAGAGAACCATTTCATAATATAGAATGATGCAAATCGTCTCTCTTGAACTGCAATGACCGTGGAAAGAGTGCTTATCACAACATAACCAAGAGTCTGAGGGCCGAGCTACAGAGCACCCTTTAGATCATGAGTCACAGGAACTGATGATTTTGTTCACCAGCCGGGGTTTGACTCACTTAAAGGCTGGTTGATTATTGATTCAGTTCACAAGTCTGAAATCAAAATGAGCAAAACAGCAGGCTGTGCTTTCCTGAGTATGAATTATAAATGGGATAAATGGCTTGCTCCGAGTAGCTAATTCTTTCTTTACCCTAATTCCCATTATGTACTTAATGAAAAGCCATAAAGAGCTTAAGAAATGGACTTGGACTTAGATTCGCTGTTGCAGAATACGCTGGGCAGCAGTGAACCACACAGTCAAGTTGTATGGAAAGTTACAACACATCACCCGATGAAGAAAGACTGTTATATAAACCTGACGTATTGATCCGACCTGTTTGTACTGGTGTTGTCTCTTAATTGAAAATGTTGAGGGGAAGCTAGAGCAACATTATCTGCGTCTGATGAGGTGGAGCCATTGTTAATGTTACTGTCCGTCAGCTATTTTCTCTGCTCTAGAACAATCGACATTTTCCTCTTAAGGTTCACTTGAACATTTGAGTCTCTTGAGCTAATCCATAGACTGTATAAAGATGAGCGAGAGCAAATCTCATCGCCCTCTGGTGGCGGGCTGCAATATAGGTGCTGTGGACAAAACTTCAATGTCAGACTACAAATTAGTTATTTCATGAAATGAATGGGATGAAAAAAATTTGGAAATGAAAAAAATAATGAAGCCTAGAACAAGGTATGAACAGGCCTCTGACACAGGAGTCATTCCCTGGACCTTTTTAAACACAAGGAAGTGGAGAAGCATCATCTGTCATACATATAAACTGTGTGTGAGCTGATTGTGAGCAGTACTTAAAAAGTCGCTGCTCTGTAGGCCGCTGCCGTAATGCTCACGTTAATGCGACTGCCAGAGCAGGATAGCAGTTCTGTTCATACAGCCAGAGTTTGGAGATGACAACTAGACTCACTGAAGGGAGTCAGTGCATCATGAAATAGACACAGTGTGTGTATGAGCACTGACTTTTCATGATGGATAAAAGCTGTATCCATGGTTACCTAAAAGCCAAAGTGACTCGATTGACTCAATTTCCTCAATGATGGTTTTCGTCATTTTGGGCCGTTCTTATCCCACTGACGGTTGTCGAGTGCTCATTTCATGATAAGTTTGTTTTCAAAAAGGGGGTGAAACTTCATGATTGACAGCTGAGACTGGCTCATATTAGTTGAATCATCACTACTGCTCAGACTCTGGCTCAACATTACGTCATCGCTGCAAGACGGCAGCGTTCAAATCCAGGTGTTTTCTGCTTTATTTTCTGGATAGTGGAAGGAAGTGGAGACGCCTCGTCCATCTTTATATACAGTCTATGACTGCAACTAGAATGAACCAGCTTAAAGCCAAACTTAAAAGAACAGTCAGAAAGTAGAAAGTCGGGGTCATCAAAGTAGTTTGGACAGGTTTTCCTACTGAGTGTCAGATTTCTATTTAGTGTGCGGAAAGTTTTTCAGCCTCTGGGCCTTGCAGCAGCTACTGCCTCAAAAAAGTTAACCGTGATGCTAGAGACTGTTCTTTTATTCAGAGGATTACATCTACATTTACATCATTGGTTACAGTCAAGCGAATGTGCCCTCAGTCACAAATTTAGTTTTTTCAGATACATTCTCCACAACAATCTCGCCTGCTGTTGTAAATAAATGGTTTAGAAAATCGAGGTTGGATCGGTTATAAAAGACAACTATGCACAGCCTGAATTTGATATCAGTTTTTTGGCCACACTGTGCAGACAGTGTTTTTCTGTTAGGTATTGCCTTTGAGATGCAAAATGTTGCCGAGCGAAATTGTTTCTTTTGTTGGTTAATTTCTATTCAGCGAATGCACCATCAAGTTTTCATCAGTGAATTTTTTTTTCTTCTGGGAAAAGCTGGCCCACTCACTGTTTATAAAGGCCACACCAAAAACTACAGTTGTCTGTATCACTGCCGGAGACATCCACTCTGCTGCTCAGAAGTTTCATAAGTACCATGACAATCTCTAATAGAAAATTAAACCTGCGCTGACAGTCAGTGTCAATCAGCCGATTCAAAGGGCCGGATTTAACAAAGTGTGAAGCAGAGAGAAGGAGATAATGGGGCTGAATAAATCGCTGAGGGGGAAAGGATCTATTTTATGGTGAGCCTGAAAGCTGAGAATTTGATGCTCGTGTGGAAGTGCGGTTATTAGGACAGAGACAGAGTTAAGAGATCACAGCGGGGGGAAAAACAGCTTCCTACACACAAACACATGAAGAACGTGGCACATCATCCTCTCTTCTCTCTATTTTATGATCTCCTCTTTTTGAAAAATAAGGAAGCAGAGAAGTGGCTCTAAGTCTCGTGTCAGCGTGGCCCAAGAGCGTGCAGATTTCTCAGCCTCCTGACACCTTCCTCCCATTAAGCTGCAGAGGAGGAGGAGGACTAATGAGTGAAATGAGTAGTGCCGACCTGATCCACGGCAGGATAAGAACTGTTGTTTCAGAGCCGGCTGCCATATTGGGCGCAATCTGTTCTCATTAGGTTGTTCTCTGTGGTTCCAAGGGACTGCCAGTGTGTGTGTGGTACCCTATGTGGATTTACAGCACAGTAGAAACACCAGCATCCATCTCCACACATCAACAGGTTAATGATCTCAGCACAGGAATGCAGTGACATTTATATGGCCACAGGAAAGTAAGAGTGTGGGGGGGGGTACCTACGTTAACACGACTCATCTACTTAAGCTCCAACTCCTTTACTGAAATATTGACAGGCAGGTCCAGCTTCCCATGGTGGACCCTCCAGAAGCACGTGGATCGAGCTAAAACAAGATGAGCTCTACATGTTAAATTTATAGTTGAGCTGATAAACCCCCCGATTGAAAGGTTCCTGCGAGGAGCCTGTAGTACTCCCCCTACACCCATCATAAGAATAGTCTAATAACATGGAGGAGGTACCATTAGGTAGCATTATGAGCAGCACTCACTTCCTCAAGAGCATTAAAAGATTGTTATGGTAATGAATAAAAGATACTATGAGGACATTATGAAAGCATTCATTGAGAACCATTAGCCCCTTTGGCACCATTACTACTCCCTGTAGGAGAAGCAGCAGTGAGAATGAAGAAGTTTGTTACATTTATGAAAAAAAGAAAATGTGGTTAGGGTTGTCCTGGTGTTTCCTCGTGTTTTCTATGTGTTTCCATATTCAAGCATGAACAACGTGTGAAATGCTCATGTTTTGTAGACTCACCCTGTGAGTTGTCGCGCTCGTGTCCATCTGTCTCAGCTTGCAGCGCTCGGCGCGCACCATGCCTTCAAGTTTTCCACGCAGTTGTTCCGGGACATTGTGTCGTAGCCTTCAACAACAACAACCACTTTCTCCGATTGCAGAGACTCACGTGTGGCACAGTTGAGTTGCGAGGTTTCGCAAAGTCGCGCCCCGACGCGACCAATCGCTCCACGGGAGACGCAAAAAGAGGTGGAAATGTTTCCTCCGCGTCCACAAAGACTCCGTCACATTCTCACTCTCTCCATCAGAGGCGACGTGGCAGACGTTGCAGAGGAGTGTGTGCGTGTGTGTGTGTGTGGCAGGTGGAAGGATCGGTCTCCAGCTCACTTGTGGTCGCAGCTCTGTGTGTTCAGGTGCGTCCGGAGCTGCGCGCTGCGCTGCGCTGTGCCAGATCGTCAATCTGTGAGACCACGACTGCTTCAGTGCGATTTCACAGCGTCAGGGGGAGTGTTTGTTTCAGCTCTCTGTTATGTGGCAGGCTTCAACTCCTCGTGTACAGATTGGGATCTATGTTCTTCATATAGTTACAGTTTATTTTGCCGGAGATCATTCAACCAGAATAATAGTTGATTATTTGTGGTGAGATGTAACAAAGTAAATACACTCTGTACTTATTATTTGTATGCAATTCATTTTCAGGTACTTTTTACTTTTACTCCATATCAGCAAATATCTGCACCCTCCGTTCCTCTACAGTTTGACTAAGAATTGTGTGACATCATTGTTAAACGACACGTATTATACACATTTCCGGGTTCATACCTAATTTGTGTTATTACTTCTAAAAGGTTTACTTGATCTAATCTTCCAAACACACTGTCCTCACAGTGGCCATCGCTGCAGCTCCTCTTCTCAGCCTCTGTCTGAAACTCCACCCTCCAGATAAGGCCCAGTCTGCTCTGAGCTGGCCTACTATGATGTGATGGATGGGAAATGTGGGCCTTCACTCCTGCTCTACCTGGCTTTGTTATGGATATGTCAGACTCACTGCTTGGTGTCCATTATGCCAATGTAGGTCATTGGGATGTCATGTGACATACACTAGAAACCTACACTAGACTCCGCCTCCTGCAGCATCAGCATCACTAATGAAGAAACACCACTGAGACTCAGCCATTATGATGTAATAGACTGTTGCATTATTAGGATACACTCAGCAAGTGCTTTTTCTTGAATACAAGTTTATTTGAAGCAAGTAATAACTTACTTTTACTCAAGTAGGGCAGTTGATGTTGTACTTTTACTTATCGTCGAGTACATTTTAGTTAATTTATTAGATCTTTTACCTTCGCCCATCACTGTTTTATATGGTGTCAAACTATTTACAGAAAATCAATAATGTATTTATTCATGTATTTGTAAGAACCACTGCTCCCTCACTGAAGAGGCACAAACTGAACTGTGAAATGCACACACAGTATTTATGATGTGGCTGAAGCCTCCACTACAGTGGCCACAGAGATTCAGACACACCCAGCTCGGACAGTGGGTGTGTCTATGCCGAGCCTGTCATACTGGCTGGAGCGTCTTTTTCATTTCAGCCGGTCTGTCAACAGAACGTCAGCTCAGCTGAGTGTATTCACAATGAGAGACGGCACAGAGAAAATAATTGGCATGGTCTGATTGACGCTAAAGTAAACAGAGGTGAAGGCAGTGGAAGCATCCATTTGCAGGGTATCTGCCTCAGGTAAATGACTGCTAACAGCTCAGGGTTAAAGCTGCAAATGTGCTGACATAAAAAATGACTCTTCAGATTTTTAAATAGGAGCAATTTTAACTGACCCAAAATAGAAACAAGGATGGGGTTGTTTTTAACAACAGCATGTTGGTTACAGAAACTACACATAAACCTGATGACACTAAGTTACAATACCATTCATCATGCTGAAGTGATCCAAATATTGAACAGCCACCAGCTCCTGGGCTGCTGCTCCGTGGGCCTCGGTTTCAACTTTGACCTCCAGGTTAAATAGCAATATTTCCCTGAAGAGACAAAAAAAAATGTATTGACTGAACTTCTGTGCAAAAATTAACATGTCATCTAGAATCCACTGGTGAATTATTTAGTGTTTCTTTAGCCCTTTCATACATTGTCGTGACTCAGAAGAGTTTAAGAAAAGAGGACTGGTCAAAATCAAAGCAGCAGAGGCCTAAGTATCTCAACTTTTAGTCCTTGATATGCATTGAGCATCAAAAATATCTAAATATCTCATAATGCAATGTAATATACTTTGATTGCATTTTCCACCACCACAATGTAAGTACTTGTACCTGTTATTCACACCCAACACTGTGCTGTAACAAATTAGTATTGTTAGAAACCCAGCTGAAGTAACACAACCAGAGATTTAACAAACCTTTGTCACTGTTCACAGTACATGATTCTAATATATTCAGTCTGAGTCGTGTACTCAATGACCAGTGAGCTGACATTCATCTATCAACAAGGAGCAGGTCCCTCTAAACCAAACTCCCACCCTTCATTTAGTCTGAGCACGTCATGTTCACATCGGCAGGAGGCATTAAGGCTCATGTTAGCATGATCTTATGATGATGCATGGAGTCGTCAGAAAAAGTCAAGCAAAGCATCCTGTGTGCTGCATTAATCCGTTTTGGGAAATTGATTGATAATTGCATTTCCCATTCATCATCCTTTCCAAGTATTGTCTTTAAAGTGAGACTGTACAGAGACTATGAGTAATGTTTGCTGAACAGTTGCCACATGTAACAGATTAGGGGTCATGTTAGGATGTTGGTGATAAAGTGGCCAATCAGACTTGGTGGTGACATGAGATCTCTGAATGCCTTTAGCTGGCATGAAACTGAATTTTAATATAAAAGAGGGCAGGTGTGATATCGCCTCTTTCAAAAGTCAAATATAAACTTTGACAATTAATTACAGTCCCCCTTTGATAACGGCTACACTGGTCACATCCAGATTGAAATAATTCACAGATTTGAAATGGAGACACTTTTTAATTTAATTGACTTTCATTGAGAGCAATTACAGAACGTATCAACCTGGACGCTGGACACCTCAGAACGAAAGATGAATCCTACACCGTCTGCACTAAACCCTGAATGGAAAAGGTAATTTCTTTATTCAAAAATAAGCCAATGACATGACCATGGAGAGGACAAATTTAAATATTTGACTGTATGAGAATGTGAAAGGGAAAGTTAATTGGACTTTTTAGTGCGGAAACTGACTGTCAGCCAAAAAGAAACTTTTACCTTTCCCCCCCAGGAGTTTTCTACTTTGCGACTCCATCCTTGTCTTTGTTTTTGTCTCTGACTTTTGGTGGTGGACATCCTCAAGTTAATTCCAGCTCACATCAAGGTAAAAGGTGCTTCAGGGCCCCTTTTGTCATGCCAGCAACATTATTAATCCGCCGCCCGTCCCCTTGAACTCATCTCTCTCTCACAAGCCTGTCTCCAGACTTCTCCTGTCCCTGTGAAAATGAAAGTTTGATGTTGTATAAAATCATATTTAATTTAACTATTCTGAGTCAGCCTGCTATTCTGGGTTTACACGTGTTACGTAAAAAAAGCTTACCTAATCATGGCATGACAACAACAGCAACAACAGAAGTAAAACAAAGCACGATGAGTTTACAGTCTGAGATATAACTGAGTTACACTGATACAGCTATTAGTCACTCTCCACAAGCAGCAGACGTTGATTAATTACTATGCTCTGAATATGCTGCATCAGCCATGTGGGTACATAATAAACTTTGACTTCATTATCTCAGCTCACATCCCTCCCTCTGCAGGAGGATGAAGTGACTGGGCCGTGAGTAACAAGCTGCTAAACCTTCAATTATGGTCACAACATGTTTCCGACCTTGTGTCTTTACAGGTCTGAGAGTCTGACCGGAGCGGGAGATGAAAAGAGGCAGGAGAGCACGAGGCCTTGTTTGCTCCAGACAAAGCAGGAGTGAAAAGCGTTTGCAGTGATAATGACGCTCGCTCCTGCTAATGTGCACAGAAAAAATGTTTCCTCGGTCATCATGGATCATTAGGTATGTTTTTATATCAGGGCCAGAGAAGATTGGTTTGGTTGTGTCACACAGAGTGATTAACAGTTAAATATGAATTTACTTTTTAAATTTCAGATGAGGTCAACTCATCACTTTTCAACACTGATAATAATAATGAGCTGTGTAACCTGTGAAGCAGGACTCAGGCCGCCAGCAGTTTTAAATGAAATGAAATAAAACCGTGTTTAAATACAAAGGTTATGTCTTAATGAGGAAAACATCCTCCTTGACGTATGTCTAGAATAGAAACGCTGTTACTGAAGAGGGACGGTGCTACAAATTTCCAGACCTGACAAACATCAGAATACAGAACTTTATTCACAATAATCTGTCAAATGATTAAGACTATAACATATGAAACAATAAAAAAATAATTTAAACATATCAGACCTTAATGGGCTCAGGGAACATTTCTGGGGAAACCCATGTGACTTTCACTTGATTCTTACACTCAGCGATGTTAGTCTTTATATTCCACCTCACACTGTAGGAGCGGTCTGACATGCAAAGACAAAACACATGATTAATGAGCTCAAACTTGATCATATGTGTCATTCTCAGTATATGGACACACAGGTGGTTTCGAGGACGTGGGTATTTTGGTTTGGCTGTTTTGCAGAAAGAACAGAAACTACATTTGAGGCTATTATATTGTAAATTCATCATACACTCTGATTACAGTACTATAAGAACCCATATTCCTTCTTGCTGTGCTATTGCTTCCAGCCATAAACTACATTTCCTTCTATTGTGTTTTGCCATTTGTCACAGAGGCAGTGAGGGAAAATGTGATGATTCTGTGTTAAGTCTGATGACTGGTTATTCATTTTAGCTTTAGCATAGCTTTACTGTTTGTTAACAAGCTTTTAAACCCAGTTACTCGACAGTGTTTACCCCTGAAATCACATATCTCTGATCACAAATCACTGACGTTTCTCCCTCAGTGTGTTGATTTTCAAAACTCATGAAGTTTTCGGTTATATTCTGAACAGTTACAATCAGGTTTTCGCGAGTAGACGTTTTTGTCTTTGGGTATAATTCTTTCCCTCCATGGGTGGATTGAATATATCTTTGAATGTCAAGGTTTAGATTTGGCCCTTCTGAGGATATCGATCCATTTTCTCCACACAATAGCTTCTTCCTCAAGGACACCGCAGCTCTATACCGAGAGTAAAGGACTCTGAGCGAACACCTTCTCGCACCATGTAAATAATGAACCAGCTAATACCAGGCTATGCCTTATGATGACCTGCTGTTGTAATGAGATGCTCACCTTGTGCACGGTCTCATCATGAAT